CCAACTCAAAAAAAAAAAAAAGATATTTAAACTCCTGTTACAGGTGCTGGTGGCTTTAAAAAATCTGTACTCTGACCCCCAATCATTGAAGGAAACTGATTATGATGAGGTTTCTGTTTTTTGCTACTGATGAGATATGTTGCTTCCAAGACTGCACCTTCATCCGTGCCTCTTGTGTGCAGGTTGTGGAGCATGGCCTTTTTGTCAAGCACTGCAAAGTTGAGGTGTATTTGTTGGAACTGAAGCTCTGTGAGAATAGCGACCCCACCAATGTGCTGAGTTGCCATTTCAGCAAGGCAGACACTATTGGTGAGTAGCTGGGCTGGGGTCTCTGATATCTGGTGAGAGAGTACAGTACATTGTGACTGATGGGAGAGAGGCTGGTTTGCCCTTTTCATATTTGTTACCCAGATTACTTTGGGCTGTGATTGCCAATCCTGACCTGGAAGCCTGTTCCCCAGGGGACTTTTTTGAGAACCAAGCCTGGGAATCGTGTTCTGTAGAACACCAGACATGGTCCTTGCTCATTTGTCATATGATAATGAAGGTGAAAAATTGCAGATTCAGAGAAGTTAAAAAAAGTAACTTGCTAATGTCTGGCACAGTGGCTTATGCCTATAAATAATCCCAGCACTTTGGGAGGCCGAGGTGAGAGGATTGCCTGAGCCCATGGGTTCAAGACCAACCTGGGCAACTTAGTAAGACCTCATCTCTACAATAAATGAAAAAATTATGCCTGTGGTTCCAGCTACTTGGAAGGCTGAGGCACAAGGATCACCTGAGCCCAGCAGGTTGAGGCTGCGGTGGTCGTGAGCGTGCCACTGCATTCCAGCCTGGGCGACAGAGTGAGACTCCTACTCAAAAAAAATATCTCAGCAACAAAGTGGCAGAGGCCCAGTGTGGTGACTCATGCCTGTAATCCTAGCATTTTGGGAGGCTGAGGCAGGAGGATTGCTTGAGCCCAGGAATTCAAGACCAGCCTGGACTACATAGTGCGACATTATCTCTACAAAAAATAAAAAAGGAAAGAAAATGTCAGGGTTAGCTTTTGAGACCAGATCTGTCTTAACTCCAGCAATAAACTTTTTCACTTTTGTGTTGTTTTCTGTGGTATAAACAATTCCTACATCATCAGAGAAAAAGAAGCATAGGGAATGTTTCTGGGCATGAATACAAGAGGATATCTAGGGAGACTTAACCTTAGGAGTCATCGTGGGGCTGAGGTCAATTAGAAGTTTTGATCCAAAGCACCAGTGAGCATCTGAAAAGAAAGGAGGATGAGCCTTAGTTTGCTACAGCTATCTTTACTCTTGGATGTGGAAAAAGCCCTCAGTGATGTTTCTGCCTATCTCTAGCAACCATCGAGAAGGAGATGCGGAAGCTGTTCAATATCCCTGCGGAGCGTGAAACACGGCTCTGGAACAAATACATGAGCAATACCTATGAGCAGTTGAGCAAGCTAGACAATACTCTCCAGGATGCTGGGCTATACCAGGGTCAGGTAGGAGGACCCCGACCATTCCCCAGCAGGCAGCTCTGCCCAGGGTGTGTTGCCAGATACTTTCTGGTTCTAAGCATGTCTGAAGTGTGATGGTTTGAACTCTCCTTATTTGGTTTCCCCTTTCACTCAGGTGCTAGTAATTGAGCCTCAAAATGAAGATGGCACATGGCCCAGGCAGACCCTGCAATCAAAGTAAGTGTATTTTTTTCTTCCTTGTAGCAGGCTCACATGTATAAGAGAGACAGTGTTTCCTAAGGCAATTACTTGTACTAAGAAAAATTTTTTGAATCAGGTAAAAAAAAAAACATGTTATTTTACATCCAGAGTCCATAATCCTAGATGAAGACCTTGGCCTTTGGTAAGCAGCATGCTTTCTAAGGGAAACCTGACAGGATTTCAACAAAGAGGTGAACCTTTCCTTGGTTGACAATGAGAGAAGAAGGAAGAGATCTGAGGGACCAGGATTTTTTATCGCTGCTGTGCCAAGAGGTGGCTTTATTTTTGTCAAGATTTTATTTTCTTCACCTATTGTTAGAGGCTGTGATGGAAAAGAGCCAAAGAGCCGGGCTCAGGCATGGAGTCTTGTGTGATTCAGAGGTGATAATTGTTACCTTTGGAGCTTCCTGGGGGAATTGTTCAGCTACTAAGGTTGGACTCTAGCCACATCGTCTCAGGAAATATTCATGTAGCATGTGGAATTGTACATGTCCTTAGAAGGGGAGAGAAAGAAGTGACACATTTTCCTTATGCTTTAAATTGGGAAAATTATGTCTGGGTTCTGATAGTTATGGGGACAGTGTTGGGTTCAGGCATCTTCCCTTAGTCAGGCCTCGGACTGTGACCATTACATAGTAATGGGCTCATAGCTTATTTGAAAATCATGAAAACTACAAGCCTTCTCTTGACAAACTTGCACGAAGACAGAAAACATTTTGCAGTTTAAAAGTTTTCACAGACTCCCTAAAACTGAACCGTGGACTCCAGTTTAAGAAATTCTGGTTGCTGGGGGGAAAAAAAAGCTAGACATAGTGGTTCATACCTGTAACCCCAGTACTTTGGGAGGCAGAGACAAGAGGATTGCCTGGACCCAAGGGTTCAAGACCAACCTGGGCAACTTGGCAAGACTTCATCTCTATAATAAGTAAAAAAAAAAAAAAAAAATTGGCTGGGCTCGGTGGCTCAGCCTGTAATCCCAGTACTTTGGGAGGCCGAGGTAAGTGGATTGCCTGAGCCCACGGGTTCGAGACTAGCCTGGCAACTTGGCAAGACCTCATCTCTACGTAAACCAAAAATTAGCTGGTTGTAGTAGCGCTCGCCTGTAGTTCTGGCTACTTGGAAGGCTGAGGCGGAAGAATCACCAGAGCCCAGCAGGTCAGTGCTGGGGTGGCCATGAGTGTGCCACTGCATTTCAGCCTGGGCAACAGAATGTGACTCCATCTCAAAAAAGAAAAAATGAAAAAAAATTAGCTGGCATGATGACATGCGCCTGTAGTTCCAGCTGTTTGGAAGGCTAAGATGGAATGGTCACCTAAGTCCAACTGGTTAAGACTGTGGTAACCATGACCATGCCGCCACACTCTAGCCTGGGTGAACAAATGAGACTCTGACTTAAAGAAAAAAAAAAGAAACTCTGGTTGCTGGTTCCTCACAAGATGACAAAATAGCTGTGGTAGAGAGAATAACGCACACCTCTTCCCCCAAGATGTTCATATTCTAATGCCCACAACCTGTGAATATGTTAGGTGACATGGCAAAAGGAACTTTGCAGACGTTATTAAGGACCTTGCCAAGCATGGTGGCTCACGCCTATAATCCCAGTGACTCAAGAAACTGAGACGAGAGAATTGCCTGAGTTTAAGAGTTTGAGGTTACAGTGAGCTATGATTGCACTATTGTATTGTAGCCTGGGTGACAGAGTGAGACGTCATTTTTATAAAAAAGAAAAAATGATATCTGTTCATTTAAAGAGTGAAAAAAAGCAAACCACCAAGTGAAAGAAGATATTTGTAATGCATATGTCTGACAGATTACTTGTATCCATAATTTGAAAGAAAGTTCTGTAGATCACTAAGAAAAAGTCAGACAACCCCATTAGAAAAAGAGGCAAAAAAAATGTAGAATTTTATGCTCAGAACTCAGCAATCCTATTCCTAGGCATACAATTCATGTTTCAGGATGTGTGTGATACCATGCTTGTCATAGTCTCAAGCTTTGGAACTAACCCAAATGCCTGCCAAAAGTAGAATGAATAGATAAGTTGCAGTGTATCCACACAATGGAATTCTATAGAGCATTGCACAGCATTGAGTCTCATAAACAGTGAGAGAAGATGGAGACAAGGTGGACATATTACATGATTTGGTTGATATAAAACTTAATAGTGCTCAAAACTGGCCGGGTGCAGTGTCTCATGCCTGTAATCCCAGCATTTTGGGAGACCGAGCTGAGAGGATTGCCTGAGCTCAGGGGTTCAAGACCAGTCTGGGCAACTTGGTGAGACCTCATTTCTACAATAAATCAAGAAAAATTAGCTGGGTGTGATGGCGCATGCCTGTAGTTCCAACCACTTGGAAGGCTTAGGCAGAAGGATCACCTGAGCCCAGCAGGTCAAGGCTGCAGTAGCCGTGGGCGTGCCATTGCAGTCCATCCTGGGCGACAATGTGAGACTCCAACTCAAACAAAATGAATAAATAATGGGCAAAATTAACCTCTGGGACTAAGATCAGGATAGTGATTAGCTTTGGGAAGAATTGTGACTGAAGGGAGCATGAGAAGGTCATCTGAGGGGCTGGGTTCTCTCCTGTTTCTTGGTCTGGGTATGACTGACATGGATATGTTCATGCAGTACAAATTTCCTTGATTTTTGTACACTCATGAGTTTTGTACTTCTCTGTAGTACTTAAATAAAAGAGTTTAATAATAATGAGGTTTTGAGTGGATTTCTGGGTGATAGAAATCCAAGAAAAATCTTGGTTAACATTTGTTTAAAATGTTCTAAGCTGGGCTCGGTGGCTCAGCCTGTAATCCCACGCTTTGGGAGGCTGAGGTGAGCGGATTACCTGAGCCTACGGGTTCGTGATCCGCCTGGGCAACTTGGTGAGACCTTGTCTCTACAATAAATCAAAAAATTGGCCAGGCATGGTAGCGTGCGCCTGTAGTTCCAGCTACTTGGAAGGCTGAGGCGGAAGGATCGCCGGAGCCCAACAGGTTGAGGCTGCGGTGGCTGGGAGCGGCCACTGCCCTCTA